TATAGAATATTGTGGAATATTCTAGAAATATATGGATGAAAAGATGTGTCTTTTCATATGAAAGATCATGACTTTTGGTATGGGTATGATTAATTTTTAATAATTGTGTCTCTTGATGTATAGAAATAAATTCCAAGAGATGTGACTCTTGGTATGATTGTGTCTTTTGACATACCTTTCCAACTACTATATATAGACCCCATATGTTTGAATTTTATCATTCAACAAATTCAAGAAAAGTCATAGGTACCATATCATTCCATTTCAATTTACAATTTGGTTTTGCATAAAACATTTGTATCAAAGTCATAGTCATAGTCATGGTCATGGTAGAGAGGGAATTCCGTTCGAGTTCGCTGGTCGAAGTCATTCGGAGTGCTCCTATGACTCGACGTGATCGTTGTATCTTGGGAGATAATTGCCGGATAACCGTTAGTATCTATGTGAGGCAAATTCATCTTAAGGACAAAGTGTCCAACACTTGCATCGACCAAAAATCCGTCATTTGCATCTTCTTTTTTCATTTTCTGATTCATTTTATTATGATTTGATTTCAGAAAATGATTAACGTTATTTATATGTTTATCCTGCAAGGTTTGATCCAAAGAATTACTTGCTTTCGATCATGAGTTAAAAGGGAAGAATCCACATTCAGGTATTCGGATTTGATAAATTCTTATTTTGTCTTCTTAAATCCAATTTCAGTAAGTTGGAATACATTTCGATTTCATGCAAATAAACGATATGTTTATTGTGAATATAATATGCACAATTATCGGTGTAATTTTCCAACAAATTGCAGAGACGGTGGCGGTGGGGTAAGTTGGTGTGGGTGGTTCCTGGTTTTGGGGTGGAGTGGTCGGTGGAGAAGATGAACTGCATTCCTTTTTCCCTCTTTTTTTCTTTTTATTATTTATTATTTTTTTTAACATAGAAAAGATAAATGTACTATTTTAAGCTTTTAAAATTAGTCAAACTTTGGTCGAATTATTGACTTTTGATCAACTAGCAGATGAACTAATAAATTCAGTAAGATTGGACTGCAATTATTTTTGAAAAGTTTTTGTATCTTGATTAATACAAATGAAATATTTGGATCAAATCTATAACAAAATAAATGGCTTGGTACCATGGTCACAATTCTCCGTTAAATGTAATTAAAGTTTGATAATGAAAATGTTATGAAAGAATTTTGGAATACAATACAACTATACAAGCGTGACAATTATTAAGAATTATGAACTTTTTATGCAATTTAAATGTTGTGTACTCGTGAGAAAATGTGGTTTGAATATATTATTATTGACAACGTTTTTCTCCAATTTGTCTAATTCTCAACATTGTAATTGAACGTGATTAAAAACCATACACACATAATAAATAGAACCTTACAAAATACACCCTTCATTTAGAAATATTTACAAAATTTATCATTATAAACAGCTAAATATACCAAAATACATTTATTAAAAATAACAAATCACACCTTATATACTAATTTATGTAACATTTTATGTACTGTTTGTTTAATTATTTTATTATTTCTTAAAAGTTAATTACCTGAAGATTATATTTTGAATTAAATGCTTTTTTTCTTTTTTCTTCATTTTCTTTAAACTACAACTTGAAAAAAATAATAATAATGAATTAATAATGTGTTAAAAAAAGTAAAAACATAATTTAAAAAATTTCCAATATTATAAGATGGACAAATGGAATTATCATTTGTCATCAGGTAAGTAATAATTTATACAAAATAAATAATATTTCAAGAAAAATCTAGGAAAATAATATATGATATTATTTATTATTCCGCATATTAAAATGAATTTATTATTCATTTTAAGATTCGTGTTATAATTTTATACCATTTTGCAATTTGACAACTTTTCTAGAATCCATCCATTATTTTATTATTTTTTTGATGACATTGTTCGTTATTATAACAAACATTAATAATAGAATATTAATATAAATATTAAAAAATATCAAGTTACTTGTTTATTGAAAATACTTGAATTAATAGAAAAGTGAAATATGAGAAAGATAGAATGAAAACAGAAAAGTTAATTTTTTTTTTTTTTTTGGATGAAAGAGTAATAGTAATTACAACTTTGAAGAATAATAACTTGTATAAAATATTAATTAAATAACTTGTTATTTTTCAATTAGTTACTTTGGTCTGTTTAGTCATTTGAAATTTGTAAATATTTCTATTTTTCCTTCGAAGTGTGTACCAATAAGTAGAATTCAATAAGAAAAAATGTAATTTTGTAAAATATGGTATACAAAATTCAAATACACCCTAAACGTAGGGGGTATTTTGTAAATTTTTATTGAGTATCCAATTTCATGAGTGCAAGAAACCAAACATGTCACAAGTCTTGCCTAAATCATTATTTTTTGCATCTCTGAGGTATCAAATCTTGTCGCTTTCCAAAGGAGAAAATTTTGAGGTCCCTATTTGATGATCAGAAGCATATTGTTCATTAGCTTTTAACTTAATTAAGTGAATATTTCTACACAACCATAAGACACTTTCTTTCAGAATTTTAAATATTTCTCAATTTGAGAAATAATTGAAGCCGAACATAATTAAATGGTCGAATTGTCTATAACAATGATGAGATATGCATTTAGAGAATCGTATTTTGATTCAAGCTTGAAAACTACAATCTTTTATTGGTTTGGATGGAACATTCTAATGAGAATATTAAAAGGCAAAGTTAAAATCTCAATATTGCAAAATACTGTAATTAAGCATGCACAGTATAGTTTAATTAATTTAATGCATAGTATTAGTAGAGTATATTTTATATAATCCCTTTTTAAGTGTTTGTAAGGGAGAGATTATTTGAAGTGAAAAAATATAAATGTATGGTCAAAAACTAAAATTATGGATTTACATATAAAACTATTTTATTAAGAAAATATTTGATAAAAAATTAATTTATTTTCAAATAATTTATGCAGAACAAAGACTTTTTGACATCAACAACAACTTCCGACCATTTCATAAATGAGGACATACTCCCTTTCATACACCATAATAAATGTTCATTAAATAAATCTTTCCAGGCATGACAAGGAAAGGAGTGGGCTTGCGTTTGTATAAATTTTCGTGTAAAATAATGATGGGTTCATTAATTAATTTATTTTACCTCCTTGCCAGTTAATAGCTTCGTAGGGAAATCTTTGAAAACCATAAAAAAAATCTTAAAACCCTTATAATAATCTTTGCTTGTATATAAACACCATAGAAATCTAAGAAACAAGGCCTGCAGGATCTTGACTAAACTTTGCTTCCCAGGTCTTCTTTTCTTGTTTATATAATCTCACTGATATAATCCAAGAAAGAGATGTATCAGTCCCAACACAACAATGAAGTGATCTTCGATCAAAACCCTTTAATTATATTCCAGCAAGACGAAATCCTTGAAGATCTGCTGCTGGATCATGTTTTGATGGACTGCAGTCATTTTGCAAATGAAGACGCCAAGAAGAGGAAAAGAAAATCATCTACAGGTGTTAAAGAAAAGAATATTGATGACAGTAGCAATGAATACAAGCTTAGGAAAATTATGCATAGAGATCTTGAAAGGCAAAGAAGGCAAGAAATGGCTAACCTTTACGCTTCACTTCGATCCCTTCTTCCTCCTGAAAACATCAAGGTGAGTAAAAACCATAATATATTTGCTTTTAATGACAATATGGTGCAAATTGTCAATCCTATGGTGAGTTGAAATTATTCATCCTTACCCCTCATATGGGTATATCTTGTACTTATGGATATAAATAGTCGACGTGAAAGCTAGATCTTCTCATCCTAATTCCTTTTCTTTTTCTCTTAGTTCCTCTAATTAATCTTGCATACATTCTTGATGTTTTGATTAGGGAAAACGTTCAATATCTGATCACATGCACGCGGCTGTAAATTACATTCAACAAATGCAAAGGAAAATTAAAGAACTTCAAATTCGGAGAGATCAACTGAAGAAGTTCTCCAATTCAGGAATCTTACTTAGTTCTGATAATGGAAGCTCTTCAAACAGTGATTTGCCTAATTTCGAAGTCATAGTGAATCGTGGCCGGGATGGAGTGGAGATTTTAATCAGCTCTGTATCTAAAGATGAAGGATTTCCCCTTTCAAAAGTGTTCACTGAACTTCTTGAAAGTGGGCTTAACGTTGTTAGCTGTGTTTCTACAAAAGCAAATGAAAGAGCACTTTATAGAATTCAGTCCTCTGAGGTACAAATCATTACAACTCAGATATAGGAATGAATGATTTCATTGTGTTCTGGGATTAAGGTTATCTAGATTAATTAGTACACTATTATTTTCATCAACTATCTGATACTATCCTGTTTATTGACCATATTGCAGGCCAATGACTCCAGTACTGATTTATCTTTGCTGCAAGGAAGACTGGCAAATGTCATCAATTGTCTTTAAAGTTTGAGCCATCGATTCTTTATGTTGGTGACCGTTCACTTATGGTTAGTTTCGAATAGGCAACCTTGAGCCGTCCGAGCAAATAAGATGACACAAACAGGTTTTGTATCATGAGTTTGTACCATGCACATTACTTAGGTCGTCTCTAGAAAGTTATGTCGGGACAATTACGAATCGATCTTCAAGGGAAAAGTCTTGGCACAGTGTGATCAAAGCTTGGATTTGCAAATAAATAGTGGTTGATATGCCACCTTGTAAAATCAGAAAGATAGTACTTTGGAACTCAACTTGAAGTCAAAATCATTTTGATTTGCATTTGGATCTGATAGTTTCAAGATTTTCACTGTCAAAGGGCCTATATTTTTCCTTGCTATAAAATTATCCAATGCAAGTCAATAATTTCCCACTTCAATTTACAACAATCTCTAATAATTCTTGTTAACATAACTCAAGTTGTAGACCGATGTTTGCATTTGGCTTACCGTTCTTTTTTTAAATGTTTGACACTGTCAAAAGCTTAAAATTTAGAAAAAAGACAATTGTATTTATTTAAATTTTATTTTTGATTGTGTTTTACAAGTTTCAAATCAATTTGATAGGATCAAGTGTGCTCCCTGTCCCGACTTGGGCATAGGGATAAAAACCGGGGCGCCACATGGCTCCCCCTATTGGTGGAGTGCCTGTCAGGGGACAGGGGGTTTTATCCTTGATAGGATTCGCTGAAAACGATATAAAGACAAGGAAAGAAAAAAATACTTATTTATTATCCGTGACTTGTCATGTTATTTGATAATTAGTGCAATGATTAAGCCTAACTAAAGGCCAAATTGATCAATAATTGAGATTGTAGATATACAGTTTGCTAGAGTGAAAATTTGCCCAAGTTGCGAGAAGATTCTCCCTATTTTCTATGACACTTCAATGCATTTCTGGAAATCTGACGGATTAGAGGGAGAAGGGTTGGTGTCAAGCACTTCTGAATGGACGGTGGCTGGTGTACAGGGGTCACATGAGCTATGACAATTATGCTACTTGTATATTTTATTTGATATCAAATTTGACATTATGCCACATATCGTAGTATAATTTGATAGTTTTTAAAAATTAAACACTTTCCCACTAACAACATTTTGAATTTTCAAAGCATGTAAAACTTCATGTACAATGTGAAATGTACAAAAGAAAAAAGGTTAAACACCAACCTTGAGGGATCCCACCGCCCGCCTCGCCCTTGAAGCATCGTGAGAGAGGTAAATCACGGAATGTGCCATAATAGGTCAGGGAACAAGAGATTGCATATACACTGGTGCCCACAAAGAATTTAATTCCATATCTCATGAATTGAACCCTCACACTGTAACTGCCAGTAAGACTGAAATTACATCACTCCTGTCCTTTGAACCACTGGGTTATATTCGTATCCTATATATGTAGGGCGACGTTAGTTCCTGCAACAACAGGAGTAGTAGTACGATTTTTATTTTTCCACTTTTTATGGTAATATTTTTGGTTGGACCGGTATGCTCAGATTGACTTTACTCTTAACATAATTGAATTAACGATTAGAGGGAGATGTAGTTACTTAAAGCTTCAGGAATTTAAAGAAAAACTACTAGAAATTGGTGCACGTTTGGCTTTTGATCTTTTATTGATGTTGTAACAGACAATAATTTGGATTTCATTTACTTTTGCTAAAATTTTACTTATCAAGGAATGAATGGTGTTTGAGTGACGAGTATTCGAGGATACTATGGTATGTATTGTTTTAATAAATATTTGATTTTTAAAATAAAATTTAAGTAAAAAATGATGACAAAAAAGTGGTGCTGCAAATAGTTGACTAGGCGTTGGGAAGAATATGGGGGGAGGTGAAGTTATAAAATATTTGCAAGCCATTAAATTTGACATTAGTCTTGACTTATTTGGCCTTTTGAGAACAAGAATCAAAAAATATATTAAAAATTTGAATTTAATTATATGAATTAATATACGAGTCCGTTTGATTGAAAAGATGGAACTGAATTAAATTGGAAACGAATTTTAGGAAATTGAATTACCTAGAAATTGTTTTTTTTGGAATTGTAAATTATTGTGTTTGATTGGTATAATTTTTCAGGGGAAAAATGTTGAAATAAAAGTATTTTTTAGTGTTCATTTGGCTTTATTTTACATGAAAATTATCAATTAAACGGATAAAATTTACTGATATTGAGAATGAAATTTGTTTCCATTATATATATATATATATATAGATCAAGAAAATAATCAATTTTTTGGTGTTCGTTTGCCTTTGTTTTACATGAAAATTGTCAATTAAAGGAATTTTTTTTTTACAACAACTCTTAGAATTTGTTTCCATTTCCCAATAAAAAAAAGAATAAAAAAAAAGAACGAAAAAAAAAAGCTGGAATTTGAAAAACCACCATACCCCATGAGAATTCATTTTCCCTAAAAAGCTGGAATTGGCACCCATGTGAGCACTATTTATGGAAAACAATTGTCTGGAAAAAAATGGTGTATCAAAAACCCAAAAAAGTGGGAAATGGAAAAGGATTTCTATTTTCCATGGAAAATATATTGTATCAAATGGTGCCTAAGGGTATGTTTGATCGACATGAAACATTTTTTTCTGTTTTGAGGAAAACAAAAAATTACTTCCCCTAAAGAAAATGATTTCTACAAAAACAAGAAAAACTAAACATATTTTCAAAGATAGAATATATTTTCATGGAAAAAATTGATAATCAAACACCTCAAAAGTTGAAATTCGGGTGGAAAAAGACTATTTTAATGTAAAATTTTCCAATCAGAACACACTCTAATTGAAAAATATTTATTAAAAATATAATGCCATTAAATTTGACATTCAAGTCTTGTAATTTTGGCTTTTTTGAGACAAGAATCGAAAAACATATTAAAAATTTGAAATGAATTATACGAGAAATTTTTTTATTAAAAATAAATACCTTCTTGCTCGTGCCATTTTTCGTTGGGCATTTAAGTTATTTAATTACACATATATACTTTTTTAAAGAGTAACGTTATTCACAGTCGCTCATTGCAGTAGTCGTTTTACGTGACATTTTATATGATAATTTGTGATTTGATGTATTAATTTGGTAGTTTTTTCTTGCAACATATATCAAATCACTAATTGCCACATTCATAGCACGTAGGGGGATTGCATTAGTGAGTTACAATTAGCATTATTTTTTTTCAATAACTTTATGAGGGACTAATTGATATCACATATTCTCATGAGCCCACACAATTTAATTGCATTGTAGGTTTCTAATCTCTAATAATTATAATATATCCTCGACTTTTTTTCATCGCATTATTATCATTAACCTTTAATTGATTAGCAAAACTTGCATCTAGTGACGATTTTCGCCCAAAAATTCTAATAAGAAAGCATAAGAAGAATGATTTGTCACTCGTGATTATAAATAATAAAAAACATAATATATACAAAAGTGTGACTAAATATGTAAACTGTATTTTAAAGCAAGCTAATAGAACTTTTGGAAGAAGATGATCACCAGGAACAATATATGCTAATTAATGGAAGAATGATGATAAGAATTAAAAATAAAAATAAAAAAAATAGAGACATAAATGTGTAAATATAAATAACACTTAATGCAATTAAAATGTAGTCCATGTATTAATATAATTGTCAAATTGTCTTACTTTGTCTTACTTATGTTAGGACTCCGCTAAATCACATTCCCGATTTTGTTTCAATAAATTACAAATACTATAATAAGATTGATGATCCCTTGACTTTTTGACTCAAAATCCAACTCATAGTCAAGTCTCATACAGTGGTGTTGGGACTTGAGTTTTATCCCAAAATGTTAATTTATTAGATGAATTGGCTCGCAATCTCCATTTAAAAAAAAATCATGTTATTTGCAGTCATTCACTATCGCACTCGTCTTATATGATATATATATGACAGTTGATAATTTGATGCATAAGACAATAAAAAACTATCATATTAATAGTGTTGGCGAACTCTCAGCCATAGGAACACAAGAAAAAAATTGCATAAAAAACTACCACATTAATATGTCAAATCACTAATTGTCATATGTATGTCATATAGGACGACTGCGATAGTGAATAATTGTAAATAGTGCTACTCTTTAGAAAAATATCATTTACATGTTTCATTGATTTAGAATTTTTAATCGCACATCTTTAATATTCAAACCTCCGCCTTGTCTTTAAAGCACAGAGCCTTTGTTCCTAAAATCCAACGTAGAAAATGAGAAACATGAGTCGAGAGTATGATAACATTAAAGTTCAGAGGTTCTCTTCGTATGAACAATTTCAATAACAAGTAAACATCTGGATAATAAAACAAAAGGCCTTTCAAAATCCTACTACAAAAATCTTATAATCTATAACTTTGGGAATAACTCATGTTGCATCTTATTTCATTAGAAAACTTAAGATGCTTCATCAATAGTGTTGGTGAACTCTCAGCTATAGGAACCCAGAAAAAAAATTGCATAAAGGACCATGATTTAGCAATTTGCAAAACAAAATGGAGAAAATAGAAGAAAGTAAACCAACATGAACTCATTTCCTTTGATGATTATACAACCATAGACAATTACACAATACAATCGACATGACTATTGTAGAGTGAAAACCCCCAATAACCAAGGTGATACCAGGCTCAGTTTACCACCAAATCAATACCACAATCGAGTAATGACCAAACACCCCAACTGGATTTTGTCGTCCTTTACAGTTGCTATTCAATGCCCACAAAGAGACCACAAAGGAAAGCCAATATCTCACAAAGATCAACCACGAAGGTCGCAAACCGAAACTGGACAGAGAGATGGAAAAGAAGAAGAGGCAACAGAATTGCACACTGAAGTTAATGGAGGACACGGTCCATTTAGACAAATGGGCAACCAAATAAGTTAAGTTAGGTTAAGGTAGTGGCCCAAAATGCCCAAAACAAAGATAAGTGGGCTTCTAAATGGATTCCATTGCTAAGCCATCCAAGTAAATGGGTCAGGCCACGAGCAACTCTATTAAATTAGGTCGCTTCAAATGGCCCATCCAAATTGGTGTTAGGTCGTCCCTTTTGTGGTGTCGATATATCGTTTAGTCATTTGGTCTAAGTCAACTAAAATTAAAATCGAGTTAACATCACGGCTTGGGGAGATCATTTGACAACAAATTGCCTAACATCTATACACCAACATACAACTACCAAAACATCAATAACAACCTATCAACTACATACTCAAAACACCATACCAACCCATTACTTTTTTTCCTACAATTCA